GGTCAGTGCTGGGCAGCGAGCCGGCCCGCGCTGCTGCAGTGAGCCCGGCTGCTCGGCGCGCCGGGCATCGTCCTGCCGCTGCAAACGGAGATTTAGCGCACCCGTGGCCAACATAGCACAGAAAAAGCCCCAACAACCAAGCAGTGTTTTTGTTAGAGATGGAGAAACGGAGAGAGCTCATCTCCAGCAAAATAAGTTGTGCAGCAGAGCGCTCTGGCATTGTATTGCACACCCAGCTGAAAGGAAACATTAAGTTATTCACAATAAAACCGTCACGTTCTCCTACCACGAGATGTGGTATTATGTGGATTATAGTACAATTTACCCTTGTAGCTGTTACCTGAGAAAACCCAACCCGTTTATCCATCTCTGTCAGGTTAAGCAGTCTTCCCTCAGGTTACCAGAGGTGTCACTCCGCAGCTCTGTCCACACCAAGGTCCCACATAGCAGTGTTCCATCACTGGTTTTTGAAGAGCCTCCAGTCAAAGACTGTAAAGGGAAAAGTTTTATGTCAAAAGAAATTATACATGTACATGCACTAGTCAATGTATATAATCAGCTTTGACTTATATTGCTTTCTGCCCTTCTACCTTCCCCAGTTTCCTTTGGACCATGACAATGTTAATATTTCTTGGCAGTGTAAACAAAGAAAAATAAGAGATGTTAAGCCTAACATAAATGTTATCTGACATGCACAAACAAGCGATCATGTAGCTTTACAATACAGTTACTCTGTTTTACCAGAGCATGGTGGGGCATTTCTGCCCTTCCAGTGCATTGGGCTTTGCAACTACATGAGGAGTCAGCCGCAACACAAGATTAACATTCACGGAATTGCTTTGCTTCTGTGCTTTAGCAGCAGCACGTTTTAAACAAAGGTTTACATTTTGGTGCAGTCTTGGAGAACACAGTAGAAAGGATTAAACTAAACTGGGAAATACAGTTTAGGAGTGTCTTGAGCATGCGAGCCACACATACAGTCTGTGGGACCAGACTGGAGTTAGCATGAAGTGAAACTACCCCAAAACGTTTGTAGGAGCTTTACAGTTACTTTACTCTAGAGATCCATTCCTACTCATCCATTCTACCGAATAATATAGACAGGCAAGGTATCAGTAAACCACACTATTCATTGATCCACTTTATGTAGGTACTTACTTCATTAGCGATTGCTCTTCTTACCCTCATTGCAACAATACTAAAAGATACTCTCATACTGAAAAAGCTTCTGCTATGGAATACAGAAATGAAACTCCTTACATTGTTCACACAGAAGTCTGTTTCTATGTTTCTGAAGAATCCTGTGCTAACAAGTCTGGAACACACCCAACGTGCTGTTGAATTTCATTGTCCTATTAGAGGTCATAACAATGTGTTCCAATCATTTGTCTTTAACTTTATCCCAATTTCATCTGTCTTGAACTCTGTTAGAATTTGGATAAGCCATGACATGTTGTGCTTTTGTGATTCTCCAAGGTATATGCAAGTGCTTCGTAAAAGCAAAACGTGTGTGGATAGCGATTTAGTTAGTGGCTACTTTCATAAGGTTAGGAAAGAGCTAACTTACACCATCTTTGCAGTTCATTTCAGTACCACAACATTTGATCTGGAACAGTTAGGAGCATATGATCACTTCTTTTTCAGATCACCCAGGTAACACAACATAATCAAGCTAGAAAACCTGTTTGTTCAAATTTGCCTAGATATATCTGACGTACCAGACAGAGGTATGAAAAGCAGCATGTAGAGTGCTGCCAGGGCATTTCTGAGCAGGTACTGGGAATGATTCTCCTGTGGTTCAGTGGTATACATTAGGGTTAACTAATTTGATTCCTTAATATAGGATGCAACTAAATTCGTAACAGCTCATTCCTATCCTGATAGGCATCATGCTTGCCAGCTGAATGGAGACTACTGTAAGAATATAAATGGTAGTCGTTAAGCCTCAGGGCTCCAGGTCTACACTACATGGATGTTTAGATGCAGCAGGATTACTAGAAGTCCAAGCAAGTGGGTTGTTGTGCTTTAAGGAGTGAATGTACGTCAAACAAAGCCAGTGCCGCTACCTTTATCCTTTACTGGATTTGAAGGCAAACACCAAAGTTACCATGTTTTAAAGCCTATACTGACTTCCATTAGTACAAGAAATCATGTTAGTTTATACAATGATTTTTTTAATGTCATCATACTTCTGGAAATTGGCTTTTAAAAATTTTTGTAAAGTACAATAAATTCAATATAAATGCATAAGGAAAGCTATAAAACTTATTCTTTCAAAAAGGATGCAGATGGTTTAGCTTCAGGTTTTAAAAGGCAATTTTATCTCTCTGGGATTATCTCCTTATGAAAAATTCTGTTCATGTATGATAGGAGCTATAAGTTTCATCTGATGGCTGTGAATTAAGAAAACGTTTGTTCTGTTGAGTGAGGAAGTGAACAATTTATGTACTGGATTCTGTTAGTGTCAGGATTTTTTTTTATTTTTATTCTTTTTAAGTGTAAATAAGTGGACATTTTCTGAGATCAGGAGAGTTGTCCAAAGAATGAGATGCAAGTTTTAATATATCTCCATATTCTTTCCTCAGGACAACAACCTGCAAGTCTGTCTTTGGCTTCGCTAGCCATATCCTTGTGAGAGGGCTGATAGTCTGTAGTCTCAAAAAAGAGTTTAGTGCTGTAATAAATGTGAGCCTTTTGCTTATGTACTGCTTTTTTTTTTAGTAAACACCCTGCAAAGTTTGATATTGGATTGATATTGATTCAGCATCCAATCAGTAATTCATCATCTGACTTCCAAAATGAAGCACTACTTTAAAGTTACTTTCACAACTGAAGCACTGATACACTTATAAAAGCTCAGTCCACCCTGATGAGCTTTAGAGCTGTGATCTCCGAATAGCTTGTATTGACACAAGATGCCACTGACATAGCGAACTCTCATACCTTCTTGATTGAGATCAAGACCTGAAGTAGCAAGACACTGGTTTTGACAGTTAAAATACTCTCTCTGCTCCACCCACCCACCTGCCCGCTTATGGCAGAAAAAGCTACTTCTGCTTAAGATGTCACATGTTTAGTTTTAAGTAAGAAAAAGTTTTTGGAAAGTTTGAGGTTAGCATGGACATGATCAGGAGTAAATATAAACTACAGCTGGGCCTTATGCTTGCTTCTCCAGTGATGCGTGTGCAGTACTACAAGCACAGTATTGCCACGGTAGAAAAGATGATTATGAGGACAGTTAAACAGCTATAGAATAATAGTATTACAACCAAGATATAAAAATATAACTATTATAACTTATTTCTCATTCTAATCTGTTATAATAAGTAATTATGATTACATATATAGGTATCATTTTATTATACACAACAATAGCAGAACAAATTTAATAGTTGAATAGTTAATTATGACCTAGGCCATACTACTATTATTGTTTATACAAGTAGAGGAGCTAGATGAGAGAATCACTGACTTTAAAAATAAATCCTATTCAGAAAACAAGTTTTAGTCACTCAGTTTCAAGGGAAGAAGTTATTTAAATGCAACAGCCTCTAGCTAATTGTCACTTTAACACAAATACAACTGTGCAGGGTAAATTTTTGTACTTGGCATGTTACCCTGAAAATTGTCCTGTGCCCATTACAGCATTCTGTGACCCCCCTGTCTCGCTGTACGGGCCAATATTCCATGCCCTAGAGCTGCTACTTCCACTGAAATTCCCCTTTATTTTGTTGCAGACAAAATTTTGTTTAATGAGCAAAGCACAAATATTTAGTGAAATTAATGAACATTCATTAATAGGAACTGTTAGATTCCCAGCTTGTACCCCCTCTGTATAAGGAAGTATTTGGTTTCAGACATTACATACGAAGATGCATTTTGCCTTATAACCAGCAGCTATTTTTTAATTTTTTTTTTGTTTCAGAGTTCCTGTTCTTCTTTTCAAAACAGTTCTGAAAGGCGTAAGATCCATTTTAATTCTTTTGTGCTTTGCAATGCTGATTTATTTAATGAAGTGATGAGGATTTCAGGGTACAGTGTTGGACACAACCACTAAATTCCTTCATGCAGTACTAGAGAAACTGGTGAAAGACTATTTTGTTCTGTCTTTGAGAAAGTTTTGACTTTTAGCTTTAGATTGAAGGTTGGCTATGGGAAACACTATTGCTTTGATAATGAAGACAGACATTAACATATAGTACCAGCTATGAACCAAAATACCATTACAGAAACAGAACCACAACTAGAAACAGTTGTGTTATACTACATTGTTGGCAAATACAGTAACATTCCTTCTTGTCCCATGACTTCCTAAGTGGTCTGTTTTGGGGTTTTTTTTTCTAGGCACCCACTGGCCACCTTTTTCCACCTGTTTTTCCGAGTGAGTGCCATTGTCACCTACTTGTTGTGTGACTGGTTCAGCAACAGCTTCGTTGCCTGTTTTGTCACTATTCTCCTCCTTCTATCCTTTGACTTTTGGTCAGTTAAGGTAAGATGTCCCTGAATAGTAATTACCTTTGAAAGATTCTGTGTACTATTAAATAAAGCAAAAAAGGAAAAGCGTATACTGACAGAAGTGACAAAGACATTGTGATCTGTTGATTCATTAAATGTCTAGTCCATTTTCATTAAGGCATTTACATATCTTGGCTACTGTTTATCACCATGTTCTCAATGCCTGATGGGAGCTACTAATATGGTGAGAAAATCGCCTTGCTTGCAATAGATTTGTTTGTATGCTTCCCCCATAAAAAAATAAAGAAATAAAGTAGTAGTGGCTTTTAGTGGTGGATGCCAAAGGACATCCAAAGCCACAATACTGTGCCCAGACCCAGCATGCAGGAGCTGCAGAAGGCTCCTGGGAGCCCAGCTGTGGCATCGGTGCCCTAAGCACATGCAGGCAGGTGGCTCAGGCCAGCCCAGAATCCCATGGGCTCCACATAGAATCATAGAATGGTTTGGGTTGGAAAGGACCTTAAGATCATCTAGTTCCAACCCCCCTGCCATGGGCAGGGACAGCTTACCCTCAACCATGTCACCCAACACTCTGTCCAACCTGGACTTGAACACTGCCAGAGATGGAGCATTTACCACTTTTCTGGGCAGCCTGTTCCAGTGCCTCACCACCCTCGCAGTAAATAACTTCTTCCTTATATCTAAGCTGAACTTCGCCTGTTTACGTTTGAACCCATTACCCCTTGTCCTGTTGCTACAGTCCCTAATGAAGAGTCCCTCCCCAGCATCCTTATAGGCCCCCTTCAGATACTGGAAGGCTGCTATAAGGTCTCCATGCAGCCTTCTCTTCTCCAGGCTGAGCAGCCCCAACTTCCTCAGCCTGTCTTCATAAGCAAGGTGCTCCAGCCCCTGATCATCCTCATGGCCCTCTATGTCCTTTTTACGTCGAGGACACCAGAACTGTACACAATACTCCAAGTGGGGTCTCAAAAGAGCAGAGCAGAGGGGCAGGATCACCTCCTTTGACCTGCTGGTCATGCTTCTTTCGTTGCAGCCCAGGATACGGTTTGTTTCTGGGCTGTGAGCGCACACTGAAGCTGGCTCATGTTCTCATCAACCAGCACCCCAAAGTCATCCTCTATGGGGCTGCTCTGAATCACTTCTCTGCCCAACCTGGCTGAGAAGTGGCCTGGGATTACCCCAACCCAGGTTTAGGACCATACACTTGGCTTGGTTGAACTTCATAAGGTTGACACTGGCCCACCTTACAAGCGTGTCCAGGTCCCTCTGGATCCTATCTCTTCCCTCCAGCGTATCAACCGAACCGTGTAGCTTAGTGTCGCTGGCAAACTTGCTGAGGGCACCTCAGTCCCACTGTCCATGTCACCAACAAAGATGTGGAACAGGATTGGTCCCAATAGCAAGCCCTGAGGGACACATGAGAACAAGGCTTTTGTTTTATGGGACTGAAGCATTGATGTATCTTCAATATACCAAAACCAGGTGCAGAAATATTTTCTTAATTTGTTTGCTTAATTCCTCACATCTTAATCATCCATTTTGCCACTCTGGTTTTGTTTGCAGTTCTCTCCTACTGAGGAAATTTGTTTACTGGGGGTTTCTCCAACTGACTGACTTAGAAAAGATACACCCTATAATTTCTTACCTAAATCAATATTATTCATAGAATCTATTGTGCTAATTATCTTCTTAGAAAAGAACAGGCTTCTAAATCTGTGGTAACTCATCCATCCTTACTGATTGTTGTGCTCAAGCTGACACAGCTTTTATAAAATACTAAAATTAGTTCTAAAATAATATGATTTTCAGACATGTATTTCTTTTTTGTTAGTCTGACGAGTGAATTATGCTACTGATTAATGTAAATAATTGTTTCTGTCACTAGAACGTGACAGGAAGACTCTTGGTTGGTTTACGTTGGTGGAACCAGATTGATGAAGATGGAAAAAGCCACTGGGTGTTTGAAGCAAAAAGGGTAAGTCTGTTAACAAAAGCAGGCACAGGACAAACAATCCATAGGAAAGCTTGTAAAGTTGATACCAAGTCAAATAAAGTAACCAAGGAGCACCTTTGTAACAGTTATGTTTATCGAGCCTCTATAGAAGATAATATAAGTATTCAGTTGCAAGCCCCTGGATTCTCACATCCTGGAAACATTTAGGACAAAACCAGTCTCACATTGTCACCATTTGCATCAGCAGAATAAATATTCATAGCATGGTACTCCTGGTTTGAAATGGCTTTGGTAGTTCTGTTTTATTTTCCAGTGAGAATATCTTGTAATAAACATATCTTCCCATAGTCAATCCCAGTGCAGAAGCCTCTTCAGGAAAGATTGGTGTTGAAAGCAATGCAGAATAGTTTGTATCCAGGATGGTAAAATTAGTATTTTATTCATGCTCATGGAATGTATTGGGGAATAAACCTGGATCACAGAGAACTCTGATACTGTCCGTGCTCCCCCAAAGACCCTGAGCTCTGAAATGGCACGTGGCATCGCTGCCACAGTCAGGACTGCAGGCTTTTGCTTTCACTTGCGATCGTGCTTCCACAGCCCCATTCAGGCCAGAGCCTGGCAGAACACCACTTCGGGTGCTGCTCACTAGGAGGATCCTTTGCAGCCAGTCCAGCTGCGCACAGAGCCTGTGTAGCAGCGCAGTGTGGAGTAGGTACCCTCCGTGCGCAGGCCTGGGGTGCCCTCTAGCAGCCCTGCGGCTGAGCAGGGCTGCAACCTGCAGTGGGGCTGTGCACCTTTGAGGGTGCACAGATGTTAATGTACCACAACTGAAACCTAAAAACATAGGCTAGCCTGCATGGAAGCAAGCAAAGTAGAGCACCTTCAGAGTTTCTTAGCTCTGTCAAGTCACGACAAAAGCTTTCTTAGCACTTAAAAGCAACAGCATCCATAAAAAGACCTCCTGACCTCAAAATTACTGAGATGAGCCAGCCTGGTTCACCTCCTACAGTTTGTTAGTTCTAGCCTAGAAGTACAAAGTTTACTCAACTATATGGGCTAAAGAAAGCCTTCTAGCAAACGGTAGCTTGATTAACGTGAAAATCAGCACCCAGAAGGAACATAGAGTGGATTGTATTTTTGTCATGGCTTACCGGTAGGAAATATATTGTCATGACAAGGTCCTGGACTACATGCAATTCTCTTAATTTTCAGTCAGGCATTCCCCACCTCCTTTGCTAGTCCTCTGGCAACTTTAAGTTCTCTTGCTTTACAGGTAAATTTGCTTAGAAATATTCCAAATTACTTACCAACAATAAGCAGCTAATTCCTGAGGTACTGTTGGTACAACAGGGGCTCACCCTTGAAATCCTACCTTCTGCTGACATTTAGCTAGAAGAACACCACAACTCGCCTCTCCTTTCTTTCAGGATGATTGCAGCCTTCTGTAATCTTGCTCAATCAAGTTAACTAGGTCTTCTGGTGCAGAGTTCTCAGGTGTACTGACTTTTTCCCCTCCTAAATAGTTAGTGCTAATGCAATGTCCTGTTGGGTAGTTTGTCAGTAGTTTGGGACACAGGTGATTAAACTGTTTTATTGATCCAGAACATCTGTCTTCTTCTATAACTATGAAGTCATAGAATATTATTCTCTGGACCTCTGCAACGTCACGGGTTTGGAGGGTACATGAGAAAATTAAAGACACCTTGTAATTATGGTAACTTTTGGGGTTTTCTTAGGCAAGATAGAGTAACTTAATCATATTTACAAGTTGGATGCCACTGTCTGCCTCAAGATGGATGGATGAGTCTTATTTTTACATGAGAATTCAAGGTACTGAAAATGAACTAAAAAGCTTTTTGGTTTTCAGAGGGGAAGAGTCCACAGGGTTTTCTTATCCAGTTGCAAAGTTTGTATTTCAGAAGCTGGCACAAGTGGTGGTTGAGTGGTCTGAGGCTTATAGTGAGATTTTGAATTCTGGTCTCCTAGGAAAGATCAGAACCTTCTGTACAATTCTTTCTTTAGTTTCTTCTAGGTAATAGGAGTTAACAGTGAGCCTTTCAGTGTATATATAAAGACATAGGAGTTATGACCTGAAGATATCTGCAACCAGGGCTTTTTTGCAGCCTGCTTTGAGGTTTTTTTGCAGTTTTTCCCCTTACCCCCATGCTTTTGATTTGTGAACAGGGCACCTGTCATGAATCTACACTACAGACAGTGAAGTACTCGCACTATAGTTCTGCTTGGAACACTATCTTCTGTTTCACACTTCCCTAAGGCCTTGGTAAAGTTTGAATCTAATGTCACAGTTAACTTAGTATTTCTGAAGTTTAAAAAGGAATTGTCAGTGTAACAGAACTTTGGCTTTAAAATACTACTGATCCGTAGTGTTAGTGGGAGCTATCAGTGACAAAGGGAATAATTCTCTCATTCAAATACGAACAGGGACCAGAACATTTTGAAAAGAAACAGCTGTCAAAGTATGGTAGGGCAGCTGGCAGAAACCCTGGCTTTAGCTACTTCTCTGCTTGTTCAGTCTTCCTTCTATGCATATAATAAGTGAAATTTAGGTAAAGATGTAATTTTACCTATTTCTCCTCCTCTGCTGATTTGTTATTTATTGTGGCTTTTGTCTTTGTGACTAGTGGTTTCAATGATTTTCCTTCTAGGTGCCTACAGTAGCTGCCTCAACTGAAGCTGAAGCTCGAATTTTTTGGCTTGGTCTCATTATCTGTCCAGTTATTTGGACCATGTTTTTCTTTAGCACTTTGTTCTCCTTGAAGCTGAAATGGCTGGTAAGTCTGAGGGTACTGACAGACCTATGGCTGACAGAGAGTGTTGGTAGAGGGAAAACCCAGATCTGGTATTTTTACAAGAGTCTTTGAACCAGTACAGAACTTGTAACAGTACAAAAATTCCACTAACAGCTTCATGAGATCACAAGGAGTTTTCTGCAGTCAAGCCCTGCACTATGGAACAAATTAACTCTTAGCCCCACTTCTACAAGGTTGTCACATGTCAGCTCCTTCATCTAACTTGAGAACCTGAAGTGGCTGGTGAAATTACGGACTTCTTTTTAACTATAGCAACCTGCTTTCCCCAACTTATTTCAGTCAAAGAAAGCAAATAGGATAGGACAAAAAGTGAACCAGTGATGCTGGTTTTCAGGTTTTTAAATATCCTTGGGACTGGAATGTTACTTGCTCTTAAAAGTAAGTCTCTGATACCATTCCTTTTTGAAAGAACCAATACCACAGTGCTTAAAACTTTGATAAATTGAGCTGTAAGGTGTGTATTTTATAATTACTGTATTTATAAGCCACCTACCTTACCAAAAAAACCCAAACATGACGTTTTTCTGAATACAAAAGGAAATTTACTCCATAAACTGCATTAAGATACTTTTGTCTAGGAAATCTTTGTATTTTCCCCTGTAGACATGAAGTGCCTGGATAATCCCCATAGAACTCATTCTGTCAAATTCCTAGCCTTGCTCACTACAGTTCTTAATTCAAGTTGAGAAGATAAAAAGCATGAGATGTGCAGCTACATAACCAGCAACAGCCAAGATTTCATTTTATTAAACGAAATAGGAAATTCAGCTGTGTGTATGAATCAATTGTAAATCATTAACCACTTTCTGCTGCCCCAAATGGTACAGCCAAACAAGCAGTAGTTGAATTAAACCACAGTCTTTCTCCACCACTCCAGCTTTACCTTTAGAACCAGCTTGTTTGCTAAACTAGGAGCTGGTTGGAGGTGGAACCCTAACTGGCACTGGATGCAGGTTGCTCAGGTGCTTGTGAAAGGCAAGTTACACAAATGAAAACAGGACAGCTTCCAGGAAACTGTTGCTGAGGCTAAGAAAAACAACTTTTGTAAGTTATTTCATTAGCCATCAACTCGATTTTGCCTGCTGCTAAGCCTACAGTACCACAAAAGGATCAGATTATTTTCACTGCGTGGTAATGCTGATACTGATTCCTATCTATCGAGCCTCTTTGGAAATCCACAAGTTACAGGATCTTATTTGTATTTAATAAGGCATTTGTCAGCTAAACAAGCCTGCAGGTTTGCTATGTATCTGGATGTGAAACTTGCAAATACAAATCAGGCTTAAAAAAAATGGAATGATGACAGAATCAGTTGAATAGGTGCTTTTTTGATTAAGTGCTTTTAGCAAAGTAATGAAATCTTTCAAGATACAGAATCATAAAAATCTGTATCAGTGTTTTTATAAAGAGACATGCTGCAGAAAGGAACTATTGTGTTTGACATGATTGGATCTCTTTGAAGATCATTTATTATTGGAAGGACTATCTCCCTCTTGTAGCATTTATGTACATCTAAGTAGTATACACAAATATGTATACCCCTGTGTATGTATCTATTCTACACATACAGTCTGTATATAGTGGTGTATTTATCCCAGCTCAACTTTTGTTTGTCCACAGGCTCTTGTGATAGCTGGGATCTCCCTTCAGACTGCTAATTTATATGGCTACATCCACTGCAAATTAGGGGGACAAAAAAGCATCAGCAGAGTAACCTCAAGGTTTTTTGTCACAGCAGATGTTCCCAAGAGTAAGTACCAAGTTGGTCTGTCAGCTACAACTCACGAAGTACCACATACCAACCTGCCCCATGCTGCTGGGTTTGGCTCTTCCCAAGTCTTAGTTCCTGAAATAATGCTGGCAGGGCTGTCCTGACCCTCCAGTAAGCCTTACCCCATTTCACTCTGCTCTGTGTTCGGAGGCCTGCTGAAGCTTCCCAGCTGAGTTGTTTCCAAGCCCCATGAAGAATGTCCTCCAAGTTAAGCCTTTGGAGAGGTGCCTCCTGAGGTCTCATAGTGCCTCTGCTTAGGCACAGCTGGGGGAGCAGTCTTCAACCCTCAGACTTCCACCCAGCTCTTCCCTGCTTTTTATAGAAGATTCCTACATACTAGGGGTGCTGACACCCTCATGTCCTGTGTTCATCCTACAGGACAGACAAGGAGAATGTCAGGAGACCGCACTGAGGAACATGGGAAGAGAGGCACTAGATAATCAAATAAGGAAGAACAAGAAGGATGAATAGTAAAAACACTCATTTGTGAAAGCTGTTCTTCATAGGAAAGTAGTTAAGTAAAAGCTTTTCTAGAATTATACACTTGCATGAAATCATGATTTTGTCATTTGTGTTCAAGGCTTTAAATTCTGAAAGGTTTAGAGCCTTCGCTACTTACAAGTTCCATCAAAAAGTGGTTTATATAGTCACAAACCCAATGCTTACAGTTCATACAGAGCACACTAGCACACCTGTCAACTAACCCCAAGATGTTGGATTATCTTAACCAAGAATTAGGATGTAATCAGAAGATGATGCTCATTTGCTTTATTTTAGAACTACAGTAAACAAAAATAAACTGCCTTCCCCCTGGAACACAATTCTGGTTTCTCAAACCTTTGATTCCTCAATAGAAAGAGAGGAATTATAATCACAAAGGGCCTCTTAAAGATACCAAATATTTAAGTGTTCAGGGTCAAGTAGAAAGAAGAACAAAAGTCACTCAGCACATTCATGGAATACTTGTGTGGAGCAGCCAGTTACGTGTAGTTACGGTATGTTAACCCTATTCTGGTATCTGTAACAAATAAAACACTGTACCTTAATTAACTCACCTAAACTCCACTAGGTTTTTACTTTAAAACTGATGGCAATTGTAAAAGGAGGAGATACTACTGCACTGAATCTCACTCTAAATATAATCTTTTTCCACTGAAAGGAAAGGTACTAAAATGGTGTTATCCAGTGAAAGCACAAGCGAGCAGAGGTTACAACTCACCCTACCGTGCGTAGAAGATGCATTAGATACAACACCCCCCTGCCAGTGAAGTGTTTATATCCAACTTCCTAAACAAAATCTCGTACACGCATGTCTTCAAACACCAACTGCACGCTCAGGTTGTTAATACAATGACACAGGGTGCAGACTGCACCTATGCAACCCAGGTGAAGACTCAGTTTTACAGTGCTCTAGCAAGCTGTGAGTCCACCTATGAACTACAGGAGTCTTCACCTATGGAAAGAACCTAAGGCAAGAACATGTATGTTAAGAATTTATTTGCAATATACAAAAAGAATACATTCCTTCTATCATATCAACGCATAAGTTATTTTTCTATTAAACATGAACTACATTTTTATTCCATTCCCAGATTAGATAATCTTTTCTTCTGGAAAATGGTGTTGATCACAGTACTCCTGAATTCCTGAAAAGACAGGGATACAGCAATATAAATAATACTCCCGTTGCATGTCAGAAGTTAGTTACTGCTGCCTTACTGTCCCCTGTTGGTACAAATACCACTAGCTGAGCCTTCATCACAGTGAAAATGGCTTTAGGCATTTCCCAGCTGTTGTATTTTTTCAAACTGCCCATCCCCAGCTCTTCAGGTAGATTTTGTGTGAGGTTTTTGTGCCATTGCAGTTAGAAGTGGAGGCAACACTTTGCCAGCTGTGTCACACTCAGCCTCAACAGGCCCGCTCAAGAATCCTGGGATGTTTCTGTGAGGGCAAGTACACACGCATCTTCTCAAAACTAATGACTGAAGCCAAATGTTGAACGCAGTTATTAAATACAGTTTTGCTACTGCTTGAGAAGCCTGTTGTAACTGATGACCAGAAACGTGAATTAATATTTGCATTTGTTACTTTTGTAACTACTATGCATTTCTATTGTTGTTATTATTTGGGGCAAACCAAAATAATTCTGCTTAACACAGGTATTTATTGCAGAAGTGCTCAGAGATGGGAGGATTCATTCAACACAGTGATTTTCAGACTTACTCTGAATGATGTTCCTGTATGATGATGTAGCTGGAGACTCAGGTGCTTCAGACAAGAAAGACTGGCCTTTGTCACAACATTTTCCTTGAAGGACAGGGAAAAAAAAAAAACAAAAACAAAAACACAAAAGCAAAGCAATGGGAAAAGATGAAACTTCTTTATTTTACCCTTTCTTCCACTACCAGCTCTCTCTCTCCAAAGAGCCACCTGCATCTCTTCCTTATGTCAGTAATATAACTGAGAACTACAGCTTACAGTTCTACAAAGGAATACTATCAGCAGGAACCTTCACTCATTAGTTTGGAAGTACTGACATGTTCCTGGATGTCATTAGGTCAAGTATTAATTGGTAACAGCTAGCAGGCAAGGAACCAAGCCTTTCCACTCTCCACAAGAGAATGTGGGTGGTTCCAGGAACTGTGAAGTTAAAGCACTAGTTTTAACACTTAACACCCACAAGATACTATTCTTTGTAGTGGTGATGATTTTATTCAGTCTGTGCTTCCAGGTGATGAAACCAAAGAGGAAGACATGTTGTACTTCAGATATGATTATACAGCTGAAAAGATGCATAAGCTAATCTTGAACAAGATTACGTTTCAGGCTAAGGCAGTTATCTGAGCACTTTTGCCTTTCACACCATATTCTGCTGCAGTTCCAGGAACTTCTGACTGAAAAAATGTCCTATCTAAAAGTGAATATTTACCTAAGACACAAGATATTTCATATTCTAATTTATCAGTCAGGGTTTTCCAGTAACAGTGTCAGTATAGGAGGAAAACTTGTTTTAAGCATAGTGCAATAGAGTAGCTTTACCTATCTGAGGATCTAGAGGCACTTTACCCAGGAGGGAAACATTTAAATTCTGACACATCTTCTCTGCACCTCCAGTAGTCGGGGGAAAGATCTGGGACTCTTTCTGGGACAACACGAAAATCAGAGTTAAACACTGCAATTCTTGAGAACATGGTGGTTTTGGAGCCATGTTTTATATACAAACAATGCCAAGACAAAACCCATCGTAGCATGCAGGAACCTTACCCTACACTTTGGACATATAAAGCCACTCATGTTTTCCACAACACCTATGATTGGCAGTTTCACTTTACGGCAGAAGTTGATCTCCTTCCGAACATCCTGAAGTGCTACTTCCTGCAAACATTGAGAAACACGCGACTCTAACATTTGGATGCTGAACCCACAGAGTTGCACCCTTAGAGTGTTTTTAACGGAAGTTCATAATGAATTATTACTGCTCTCTTTGTATTTTGAGGACCATGAACCTGTGTTATGTGCCGCGGTAACAATTCTAAATGTAGCAGTAGAAGAGGTTAAACAGTTCCAGCCCACTGAATGTAGGTGGTTCTGTTTTGAAGTCTGACTGGACTCTTTAATAGAGATTCAGCCATGTTCATCTCCTCTATTAATCTCATTTCTTTAGTTCTTGAAAGATAACTTTCTCACATTTTCAGTTTACAGGAAGACCCCTGGGATACTCAGTAGAGCAGGCAAGGACAAAAACCAGCAAGTTCAACTGGAAATAGTTTATTGTCCCCTCAGACTTTTCAGATCTATGTCTGACCTCTTTCTCGTCTGCTCCCCTTCTCCTTCTCTCACCACCTATCCAGTATTGCCCTCATCACTTCCTTCACATTTTATTCTTTCAGCTGTTGTGGAAATACTACATGTCTTTTGCTAGTTTGATCTCCTCCTCCTTGCCAAACCAAGCACTGAAACATACGTATGCTGAATTTCAGCTCTCCAGGGGCTGATTTTTTTTCTTTTAAAAATGCACATCATAACGTTGCCTTACTGGAGGCAACAGGCTACTTCATGTAGTGTCAAACAGTGCACATCTTACCACTTGAAAACCATATGTCTCCCTGATTCCTGAGCACTAAGCCATTGGTAAGCAGATTACAGAATGACAACAACGTGAACTCTAATCTCGCTCAACGAATGAAGCAAAATCCTGCCTTTCCCTTCACACACAACCCAACAGCTTTTGACTGCGAACTCCCTAGTGGTTTAGTGACCTGATCAGATTCCTCCCCCCACCCCTCGAGACACCCATAACTCACAAACCAGCCAGCTGTAGGACAAACCAGGAATAGTTCTGGACTATCATTTCTCTGCAGTCAGTCTCTAACCCAAGGATCAGCTCTAACTTCCACCAACAGAAACCAAGTTCTCCTACCTGAGGGGTAGTGATTATAACAGCCCCATCGACATGCGTTGCACTGAGGTACTGCACAATAGACAGATGTTCATCCGATGTTCCTGGAGGTGTATCTACAATCAGGTAGTCGACTTCACCCCAGTCCACATCACGAAGAAATTGTTTGATCAACCCTAAGAGAAAGGATAAAAATGTGGAAGAGAAAAAAAATCTCCCCATAGTTCAAACTTTAGAGTCTTTTTCAACTTTTACAGTCCAGGTCTGCAGATTCTGCTGACTTGTCGACTGACCTACAGGAATGCTTATTTTGCCAAGGCTTTAAGCCTTTTGACAAGCATTTAGCAACAGGACAAGGGGAATAGATTTAAACTGTCAGAGGGGAGACTGAGATGCGATCTTAGGTGGAAGTTCTTCCCTGTGAGGGTGGTGAGGCCCTGGCCCAGGTTGCCCAGAGAAGCTGTGGCTGCCCCATCCCTGGCAGTGTTCAAGGCCAGGTTGGACACAGGGGCTTGGAGCAACCTGCTCTAGTGGAAGGTGTCGCTGCCCATGGACAGGATGGATCTGGTTGGAACTGGATGAGCTTTAAGGTCCCTTCCAACCCAAACTGTTCTGTGACTCTATAATTTGACTTTCATCAAATGAATGTTCAACTAAAGAAAATAAGTAACCATTCATTCATTTTTCCTACAGCTTACCATACTGTATTTATGTTCCTAATTAAATGTGCTTATGATATTAAATCTTTCAAGTACATAAATTACTGTTGAAAACACTTGATACATACCATTCTTTTTGGGTCCTCTCCAGATGACAGCATCATCAGGACTACTGAGCAAGAACCCCACTGACATGACACCTAAGTTTTCTTCAACATACTAAGGAGAAGTAGAGACATTCAGTTAGAACATACAGAACAGTAAAGACAGACTAGGGAAATGAACTCTGAAACAGACCTTGAAGAAAAAGCAGTTGGGGAGGGGAGCTGTGAAGAAAATAAAGGCAGAGAACCTATACTTCTCTGATAAAAAGGTATCAGAAACTACACCTTTTGCAAAATGCTCACTAGCTACATTCACAGACTGAAATAAATCCAGTTGTAGTAAGACTTACAGTGGTCTTTAACAGCATATGCACAGTAGTCATAGTATAGCAAGAAATTCAGTGAACAAGAGATACTTAAAATCATAAACTATCCTAGAAATACAGCATTATTATGATTAAGAGATTGAACATTGATTTTTATATAGAGCCTATAAGTTCTATAAGATCTTGGCATTTATGTCATTAGAAAAAGAACCAACAGCAGCACCCCCTGTTCCCTCCTCACTTGTTTCCCCCCAGCCGACAGTGCCCAACCCAAACAAACCCAATGCCCTCTCTACAAGAGTTGCCCCAACTCACCACTGGAGACCAGCCAGATCCGCTCTGATGAACCTGAAAACAGACAGGAGCCATCAAGTGATGTTGCAAATGAATACAGATGTCACATAAAACACGTAAAGAGCTGCCCTGCTGATAGGTACCGTGCTGCTTGTGCTGCAGCAGCTGAGCTAAGAGATGCAGAGGGCTAGATCACCATTAGCAAGTGAATAACTATTCAGCCCACCCGCAAGAAGTTTACCCATGACTTTATATACTGATATAAAATATTTTAGGGCTGATCATGCTGACATCACTTAAGTTTTATATAGCCATGAACATGTGGCCAATATGCAGCAAATGCTGGCTTGCAGAGCTGCTCATCTGAAAGCAGACAAGTCTTTTACAGACTACACCATGCTGAACTTGTCCCTCTTGCCTGTACTTCCCTGCCCACTGCCACACCCACTTCCCAATAAACTGTCCTTTAGAAGTTTTAACAAAGCCTATAAGACTCTAAAACGTTAATGAAAAATTGGGCAGACATCCTTTCATCAACACGTTTGAGCGTTCACTTACCTGTTCTCCTTCCAGACCCATCATTTTAGGGATGGATGGCCCGCAGATATCGATGTCCAGCAGAGCAACCTACAACACAGCCCAGCCCCGCGCTGGCAGCCGCCC